GGGAGAAGGGGATAGATGGAATTTCAGTGAATTTAAGTTTTAATGATTAGGGCAGTCGACGAGAACTGTGAAGTTTAGAATGTTGTAAAATTTACGTCCTGGTGGTAAGATTCCCAAAACCTTAGAGGGGATCACATTCGGATCTCCAACATGTGAGCTCAGTGCTCTATCCAGTTGGCCAGCTGCTTCCTAATTTATGAAACATACATTATTTTCAAATGTTTCTTTCTGAACAGAAATTCCTCACCTGAAAACTAAACTGTACTTCTGTATTTTCGATCTATTCTAGCCTGTCAAGTATAAATACGTATAGTATAGGTTACCGGAGTTGAATATTAACTAATTTCTTTCAACGTTGAAATAAAAGGCTATAAACCGACCACTCGTTCCCAAAAAGCTAAACATTAATTTCTGTCTGGAAGCAAAAATGACAAATAGAATAATTGTGAGGCTCCACCTAATATTTTACACACATATCCACGACATGCCCAATGTGTTCTTATTGCAGGAAGACAATTCAAACACCACTATGGTCGCAGGAGGAAAACTTTCACATTTTGGATCTATTCAAAGCCAAATACTGTTTTCAGTACTTTTTAGCAAAGTAAAATACTCAAAATTTGAAAACTAGAAATGGTGGTCCAAAGGATGTTATGTATAGAAGCTCGCTCTCCTACGAACTACGCCTGCCAAATCAGAGGGAGCTAAAACCAAGAAGGAAATACCTGGAAGAAAAAAAAAACAAGAAGTGCACAGCTAACAACACGGTAGAGAACGAGCGGTCTACCTCGAAGGAAGGAAGCATCAAGCCCAGAAACGGCGCAAATACTAAAACTTTAGTCGTGAAAGTGACGGAAATAAACTACACGGAGACCGTTAGCAGCCTCGGCTAGCTAGCAGCAGTCTGAAAGTGGTGGAACTTTTTAATTTTTTTTTTCTTTCTCTTAAAAGGAATCGCAATCGGAAAATATCCCATTCTTTCCTGAATTGGAATTGAAATAACATAAATCTGTCACAAGCCGTGTAAATATATCACTGACACAATACAGAACTCTCAGTTTTCTGTAATACTAGGTAAATACTAAAGAATGCACTGTGTTTGGTGTATCGTCTACCATTCTCAGAGACCAGATATACATTTTGCAGTAACGTATTTAACATTATGTTCTTCTTCTTTTAAAGTAACCTCTATTGGAGTGCGAAGGTGCAATGATCGTCTGTGTACCGTTTCGAATGCGGTGTATAAGTTTGTCTTCATTGTATCATGTCATCAAAAAGATCGATGGGATCAGTGGCAGGCTTTTAACTCCCTTCTCAACAAACAACTTGCTTTATTTTTTTTTTTTTACATTAGTCAACATGCGTTTATTTGAAGCACTAAAGGTTATTTTCAGCCCATAGGTCAATTAAAGCCAATCTTCATTGTGGAGACGGAACTTGATCCCTGGAACCTGTCCCTGGATAATCCTCATCCGTATGCTGGCACTTTGTGTCACAAGGTGTTTATCGCTCGGTGTGATGTCCTAGGGGCGTTAAACGCCATCATCATCTATTCTTGTAGAAAGCATTTTTTAAAACCTTTCTTTCTGAAAGCAAAGTAAAAATGACCCTCTTTGTCTCCTTCGAGTGTAGTGGGCATATAGGGCTAGACCGATATTTTAAAGAGCTATCGGCTCTTGTAAGATGATGTGGTCAGCCACACTCTAGATGTTTTTATTATCCAGGACTTCGCCTTGCACTCATTGTAGGTTGGGTCGACATGGAAACCAAGTTCTTTGTGTGTTTGTTTATTTATTTTATAAATCCAGCTCCGTTAGGATTTTAACTACTTTACGAACAAATAAAATTTATACAAAGGCCTAACAGTGAGAGAGTATGTTACTGCATCAGGTTTGATTAAATGTGGCTCAATGTATCTCCGCAATGTATTGGGTAAGTAGTAAGTAGGTTAGTTTTACCATACCAGGACATCACACAGAGCAAAAAACACCCAGTGACACGAAGTGCCACCATGCGGGTGAGGTCATGGAAACCCCGTTTAACCGTTAAGTTATTTTACGGTCCCCGGCAACAGCCAGGGTGAGGTCTCAAAATAACGAAAAAGGGTTATTATTACGTCGGTCTCCCCATTCACACCGGTATACACGAGCTCGCTTCTGATTGGTCGACCTCTAGTCTAACTCACCTCTGATAGGTCGGCCTCGAGCAATCCGACTTTCACACAAGGTAACGGGGCTATTTCGCATTGGCGCTGATATTGCGTGTTGTAGATTTCACGATGACAGAGCTTTTAACACAACAAAAACATGTAGATACTGGGTCTAACACACAACCTCACTAGACAGTGACAAAACCTATGTCACAGGCGGTCTCTTTCTCGGAATAAAAACGTAAATGCAAGTCAACTAGAGACCGCGACACCTATAACCTCGATTACGGTAGACTAGTCTAAAAAACGTTTTAATGGAGTCGACCTACATTCGTACGGAGACTAACGTATTAAGAACCCGATAAATGGCGTTCCACAAGGGGACGAGTGCATTGGGTCGTCTGTTTAGAGCGTGGCATAAAAGAGACTCCGTGTGTGAATTAAAGATAACATCCCATTGGGCCTAGTAGTCACTGCGCAGCCAGCGAGTACTGCGGAATCATAAATGACGATTTTCGCATTCCTTCCTTCTTTTTGACCATCATCATGTGCCTTGCCGATTAGCATAGGCGTTCATGCGTCTTTAGAGATCTTGGTCCATAGTCCTCTGGATCATTTCTACCGATATCTTCCCGAGCTACCGTCGCAATCCATCCGTCATCATCCAACCCTGGGTCTGCATCTTCCTCGTTAATCTTCTTACATATACACACATATATATATATATATATGAATATGAGTGTGTTGAGAGGTAGAAGGTACCTCTGGTGGCTCATTGCTTATCGAATGGACTACGTTTGTTACAGCAAAGCCTAACATATGTTATCATATCTAGTTTACGTATTGACGTGAATATAATCAACACAGCTTTCTTCTCACTTAAGAACTAACTGACCTCACATTTGCTTGTAACAAGCTCATAAAGCTTGATGAGAAAGGATGAGACGGGCATGCTCTATGCAGAGTGACAAGTATCACTTCAGAGGTTCCAGGCTCTTAGTGTACTCTGGGTTTCTATTCACGTCTATCATGTGGCCTGAGAAATGAACAGAAAGATTTGCCGGTTCTGTTCCATTGTATTTTGAGCTGTTTCATGACCAGCTAATGTGGTCAAATCATTTGGTGGCAAGTGACGAGCAGAGGAGCATCACGACCTGGAAGGGAACTGTGCTAAGGGGAATGACCAACATTCAACAGTCGGAAGGCAAAGCAGATGTATAATCAAACTGCTACTGGTATCGTAACTTTAAAAAGATTTTATCCCAGCTGTGGACGATTTGTCTTGTGTTCGTTTTGACAGTGGTACCGAAATCTGGCCGTTCAGAAAGAAGGGCAAACTACTGAACGTAAAAATGTGCCTAGAAAAACCAAAACAGCTAAAAATGTGCTGGCGTTGGTTCTGCAGCATCCAGTCAATAATACACGACAAACTTTTACTGGTAAAGTAGGAATTGGAATTATGGGTTAGCTGCTGAAGATAGCGATGGGGCATATGTGTGAATGTACCGAGCTATGTGATGTCGGTGCATAACTGAACTTTACTCAGCTCACCTTACAGCCCATTCCTGGCACATTGTGTCTCAACTTTTCTGAGAACTGTGAACAAACAGTACCGTTCCTGTTAGATGACGTGGATGAGAACTAACAGGACGATGAGTAAGTGGTTTTACAGCACATGATTAGACGTTTTATGAATATTTTTATGACAGACCCTTATCTTAGAGACAAGTGATTTTGTGTAGTTTTTATTTGTTATTTTATCATTGTCCATTTATGTTGTTAAAGACTTTATAGCCGCAACGTTAATTTTTATTTTTATGACTGGGATAATGGGAAGCAGAGGATTTGTGCTCGTTTAAACTGATAGTTTTTTTGGGGGGTTATTGGTGATACAATTGACATGACAGTGAATGAGACAATGGAACATGGCACGAATCTTTCAACAAACATTTATTAAGGTCAACGTTTTGAAAGGGAAACAGGAGTCACTTTCCTACGGCAGACAATGCTGTTCAAATATAGGGAGACTTGACGGGAACCTGTATAGTCTTTTTAAATCTATGGAAACTTCCACCATGAGATCTGAGAACTCAGCCATGTTCACGTCCTAACTTAGACGGAACCGCCGTGGTGTACCAGCTAACGCTGGCCTGCGGATCCGAACTGAAAAGGTTCAGATCCTAATAGGTTTTTTTTTTTTTTTCAAAATGATTTGCCTTCCATGTTGACCCAGCCTTAAATGGCACCAGAAAAAGTCATGGGAAGTAAAAGCAATCAGTTTAATGTTAACCAAGTCACCAACTAAATACCAATTGGACTAAACAAATATAGTTCTAGAGCTATTTGCCCAATGCGCCTAAAGGCGTGGGACAGGTGCTTTATGTTACTTACAAAAACACTTCCGTTTCATATCTACAAACGTTTCTCTCACAGCGGCTTTAAAATGTGTGTTCATATTTATATATACAAAGAAATTCATTAAGGAATGAACAAGAAACATTTGCTGTAAAGGACTATAAATGTACATTGGAACAGTGTACTTTAAATTAACTGCAATTGCAATCACTGAAGGACAAGTACACAGTACGTAAACACCACACATTATTGCACAAAACTTTACACTTTTCCACGCTGGTGTTCCATAGTTTCTGTAAGTGTAATCGGCTAAAGGATTTGAAAACTGTCTTCCTTGCGCCGCTTTCTTGCGTCTGTAAGCTAAAATAGCAATTTTGATGTACATAATTAATATTAGCAAGAGATTCACAGAGTACACTATCGCTATTACAAGAAAGTATGCTGTGGGTGGATGGGTGCTGATACAAAGTGCGTGGTTGCGGGTATTTCTGTACACAAATAAGGGGATTGCTCCATAAACAAGTGCCAGAATCCAGTAACAAATAATGTTTAACAGAACACGCCTCTTGGTTACATGTTTGATGTAGAAAAACGGGTGGACAATGTTGATGTAGCGATCAGCGGCGATAACTCCCATCTGGTTCATGGACAACATCAGTGTAGAGAACAACGCTCCCATCATAAACGTATCCATCAAGACTAGCTCGGCTACGATGTTACTGGAAAACAGTAAGCCCAGTGTCGCATTGATTTCGCAAGAAACAGCAAAAAATATATCGCCTGCACTTACTGACACAATAAGCATGTTTGTGTTTGTGTGGAGTTTTGGACTTCGCCAGATGATAAATATTATTAGTAAGCTTTGAACTATGACCAGCATGCTTAAAATAATCCAGGAAATATTAATTGCAAGTTCATTAACATCATCTGCACAAGCGGATGTGAAATTAATTTTCATATTTTCAGTCTGAAATAAACGTTCACGGTCAGCTATTTTCTAGAACAAATTGTTTCTGTGTCTGTAAGAAAACAAGTTCTGTCTTTTATTCTCGGTGTAGAACTTTAAGAGTTACTAGAGCTGTTTTTACTTAATGTGATGCACCTTTTAGGGTGGCAGTTACGAATGAATGAATGAAGTTCAACCCCACCAACACCGTACAACGAGCGATTAGCACCCGGTGACACAAAGTACCACCATTCGGATGAGAATCACTTAAACGCAAGTTCAAGAAACCCTAGTCAAACGTTATATTAGGGCACATCGACTATAGCAGGATTGGGGCTTTAAAATAACAAAGGGGCTAGATGACATTTTAGGTTTAAACGACGAATCAACATCATGACACAAGGGTAGTAGCCTATAAGTGCTTTTTTCTACTTCTAACTAAAGTCTAGGTCCGAAGAATCTCAGCCCAATGCGGAGCTCCGTAGCACCGGCGAGGATTCTAAAATACTTTGGGTAGAATTTTAACTCCAAATATCGCCCGGGCAGCCCCATTAGGCTATTCTTTTCGATTTACAACTGCCAAGTGATTTTTTATGTGCACAGCTTTACACACGGACGTCTGATCTTCCAACCAAGAGATCAAAGGAAATTGCTTGGAGTCCAGGTGAAAAATTCCAGCCTGAATCCGGGACCTTCAGTACTCGAGGTGGACCACTTAGTTCCCCCCCCCCCCCTTTCTTCCTGCCTTTAAAATTACTGATGAGTAAGTTTTACGATAATCTCCCCACGTTACACACTAGCTCACTTCTGATTGGTTGACCTTTAATCACCCGACCATCGCATACTGTTAAAGTGTGTTTGGCAATGCCGTTGCGGTCGTGGATAAATTATCTTTGGTCTATAAAGTATAGCTGTAGTCCTATATACATAATACACTTAAAGGCGTGGAAAGGGTCTTTTACCTTCTTTTTTTTAACGATAAATTCTTTATACCTTAAATGGAATCAAATCTGGGTCTCCCACGTGAGTGTGCAGCGCTCTAGCCAGTAGACCTGCCTAGCCTTTATTTGTGAAATACTGATCCTCTTTTATTTTTACGATTTATTCCCTGTGTAGGAGTCGTCATGGTGTAGCGACTAGACTCTAGCCTGAGGATCAGAAGGTCGTGGGGTCGGGTCCTAAAAAACCCTCACTTGTTTTCAAAAATCACCTTGGTTTTCATGTTGACCCAGCCTTGAGTGGGAATGGGTTGCAGTCCTAAGAAGTAAAGGTAGCGGGCGTACTGCTGCCACATCATCCACCAAGCACCGACTGGTCTATACAATTTAGGTTTAACCCTGTGTGCCTACTACGGATGAAGGCGTGAAAAGGTCCTTCATTTTACTTGTATTTATTCCCGTTGTCAAGACTAGACGCTTGTTACGTTACTGAGACATCTCTTCTAGGGGAGCTTCGTGGTCTCGAGTTATAGTGTCCGCCTCGAGTGCTAGAGGTTCAGATTTCAATCCCCGGTAAGGGCTGAGATCTTTTCACGTGAACTTGGACTTGTAGTAATACTTCCTGGTCTCTGTGTAATCAGATCGGACGCCCGTGTGCATTGTTGCACACTTAAAAAATGAGTTGCTAGTTGGAAATCGAAAAGAGATGCCTAACGGTATTTCAGGATCCTCGCCGGTGCAACAGAGTTTATGCACTGTGCTGAGCTTCTCAAGACTCAGACTTGAGTTTGAAGAAGAACGAAGCACTTATGTGGATCCGTTGTTCAAAATCTTAAAATCTCAAAACCGGACACATCTTGAGACCATCGGTCCGGTGACGAATGTCAAAAAACCGTGAAATTAAAGCGTTTAAGATAAAATTCTGAGAGAGGGAGAAAACTTTGAAGGTATAGGATAAAATACTGAATACTTTAGCAGTCCAGCTGATAAAGATTACAAAGTCCAGGTGTTCACCCTGGAAAGTTTGTAGCTTCTCTGTTTAGTCTGAAAGGTGTGGATGGAAAAAGAGGTAAAGTCGGGAGATGTGAACCGGCGTCATTGCACACGGTTATAAACCATAAGTGCTCTGCCACCAGTACGGACAGCTGATAAGAATTGTCCGCCTGTGTCGCCGTTCGCACTTAACTCTGTAGCTACAGCGACGTTCCTCCGCTTACCCCAGAGTGTCAACTCTGGTACCCATTTCCTAGAGGCTGTGTGAACCCTGGGAACTGCCCGGTTTCGAACACCGACCGTGGGCTGCAGCGAGTCGCAGCTTTATTTGAAAGCGAGGCGTTTATCGACTGCGCTAAAGCAGCACGTGTTGATGGAACGGGCCTCTAGCAGAAACAATATGCGTTTCGTTAGCTATATCACTAAAAATGTTTGCAGAACTTATGGCACTACACTTACAAGCGGCTAAAAGTAAAACATTTTCAGATAATGCATCTTTCACATAATTAAGAAGAGTTGGAGGCAACATAAATGTGGCTGTTGTGAAGAATGTTGCGAATACCTTGGACTGCCAGAATAAATAACAATGATTGCCTGAAAATTGCTAATGAAAGTAGAAAAGTATATACAACAATGAAAAGGAAACCGAAAATGTTCTTGTGCCATGTTATGAGAACAAGGGCACTGGAAATATCGGGACGACTGGAAAGATCACTGGTAGAAGAGGAAAAGGCAGACCAAAAGAAACGATGGTGGATGGTTCAAGACAGTTGCATGGAAGAATATCATCAGTGGAACTGATCCAGAACACCAAAGACCGAGATCTGTATAGATGCATGAACGCCTACGTCAGCTGGCAAGGCACTGGATATTGATGATTTTTCCCGTGGCAACTTGTGGATGTGAGTTACGGATTCTTTCTCAGACACAGAAGAAACAAATCGGAACTTTTGAACTGAAATTCTACTGAACCATTTTCAGAAAAGCATGGACCAAGATGAGAAAAAACAGCGACATCACTACGTGTGGGCATCGAGGAGAATTGGCTCACAAACAGCATCCTGCGCAAAAGAAAAGCTGACTTGTTTTGCCATGTTAAACATCATGGAGGTCTGGAGAGAAGGGTAATGGACGGTAGTGATTCCAGAACGCAAGGCAGATTCACGCCTCCGAGATGGATGCAAGGCATTGAAGGTGCATTAGCTATGAAAGCACAAAGGGCTGTAGAACTGGCTAGAGTAAAAGACTTCCAAGCGTGCCATGACGAGAGGGATATTCGGTAAAACATCCGCTGATGAATGCTTTAATTAATGCGTGCCTGAAGAAGATGGTATAAAGTTAACAAAAACGTCGTTATATCTAATAAATATAATATATAAATTTCGCGATTGGCCGCTTTGTAAGTTAAAATATTGTGATACATTAAACTTGTTTGAAATCATATTTCAAAAACATATTACCAATTTATGTAAAGCAGTGGTTCTGAAACTATGGGTCTGACCCTTTTTTAATTTTGAACGACCCTTTCACATGGGTCGCCGAAGACCATCGCAAAATAAATACTCATTGAAGTTCTGAAGTAGCGACGAAAATAATTGTCTGCTTGGGGCAGATCTTCACAACATGAGAACTGTATTAAAGGGTGGTGGCATTTGGAAGGTTAAGAACCAATGGTGTCAAGGGACGCCAAAAAAAAACCTGATAACCATATCACAAAATCGTACGTACAGTATAAGCTACTGACCAGTGGCCTTGAACGTTTAAATCAAATATCTACAAACTGACCACTTGTTCCTAGAGAGCTAAACGGTTATGTATGTCTGACAGCAAAATATCCCAGACTTTCCTGAATGAACAGTGAAATAACATACATCTGTCACAAGCCGTGTAAATATATCAGTGAGACAGCATCGAAGTCACAGTTTTCTATATAACTACTTCTTCTTCTTCCTGTTTTAAAATTACATCTAGCGAAGTCGTCTATTGATCAGAGTGAGAAGGTGTAAGGATCATCTGTGTGTCCTTTCTAATGCGTTGTATCAGTTTGTCTTTATCACGGCATCACAAAACTCGATAGGATTACTACCAGAACTCTGACCTGTCTACATACAATGACTTGCTTAAATTCACATTATACAACGCGTGTTTGTTCGAAGTATTAAATGTTATTTACATTGCTAGGGTAGTTAATTGTTAGGTGTACTGTGTTCTCAGTGAGATTTTTCATGTGACAACAAACGGATTTGAGTCGTGGAGTATTTCGCAATCATGAAATGAAAAATCGAGGCTTTTAAACTAACATTATATATGACGATTCTTAAAATATCATGATCCATGATGACACAAACAATACTGATATAGAGTGAGTCACATTTAACCACCCCCCCCCCCCCCCCCCTTTCTCCCCCCACCCAGGAACGCCCAGGTTTGAGGTTTGAAGTTTGAACAATAGATTAACATCATGGCACACAGATAGTAACCCATAAGTGCTCATTTCTTCTTCCAAGTCCGAAGAAGCTCAGGACAGTGCACAGGCTCTGTAGCACCGGCGAGAATCCTGAAAGGCTTTGGGTAGATTTTTAACTTCAAATTTGTAAAGGGTCAGCGCCGTTAAGCCACTCTTTTTGATTTCCATGTCGTTCTAACGATGCGTTAACCAAGCGGTTCTCAAACAAGAAATACACTTTTTTCGATAGTGTCCAGGGAAGACAACTTAAATTTTAACTTTTAAGTATCTGCATACCTTCCGACACAGCTGTCCCTACTGGTGGCAGAGCACTTATGGTTTATAACTGTGTGCAATGACGCTGGTTTACATCTCCGGACTTTACCTTTACCTTTACAATTGTTAGCCGACTTTACTTGATTATTGCCGCGGCACCCCTGGCATCTGCTCACGGTACCCAGTTTGAGAGCCGCTGCTTTAACGCATCGTTAGCCTGATCCGGTGACGTCAGCAGCACGGCACGTCAGCTTCAGTCGGTCGGGCTTTAACCCTACTCAGTTGGTCATGCATGATCGGAGACATAATGAGGTCGTGTGCATCCTAGGTGATGCAGAAAGAATACGGTATGGAGGGAG